ATTTTATTATCCGAATCACTAGTTTTCTATAAATAATTTTATTTTAATTTTAGTTATGCTAATCGGGCTAAAAATATAAAGAATCAACCACGTATAAATGAAGATCCTAAAGATGCTTTATTACGAAAATTTCAAGAAGAAATAGCTCGATTAAAAGAACAACTTGAAGGAAAAAGTAAACATGGTAAAAAATCACGTCGCCAAAGAACTCATGATGGAGCTGATAATGATGAAAGTAATGATAGTGGTCAAAACGATGAAGAATTATATCTCAAAGATCAACAAGATAAACTCAATGAAGAGAAACGGTCAATTCTTCAGAAAAAAAATTTGAATGGTAAATTGAATATTTTCATGTATTTTCAATAAAGAAAATTTTTATTTAGAAACTGAACGAGAAGATATGCTTAGAGAATTAGAAGAAAAACAACAAGAAATTCAACGTGAACAAGATGAACGTCGTGAAATGCAAAATAAAATTCAACAAATGGAATCAAAATTGATTACTGGCGGAAAAGATATTGTTACACATACAAGTGAACAAGAAGAAACTTTACTACAAAAACGGTTTTGTTTTTGAATAGTTTTTGTTTTGAATATAAAATAAAGTTTATTTTTTAGACGTTTAATTGCTGAAGCTGAACGTCGTCATTATGAAGTTCAAAAACAATTAGAACAAGGTGAAGAAGAACGACAAACAATTAATGAAAAATATACAAATATAAAAGAAGAAGTTGAAGATAAACGTGCTAAAAAAGAGAAATTATCTAAACAATTAAAAAAACTTGAAGCTAAAAAACTTGAGATTGTTGAAAAACATCGAATAGTACGTGAAGAACTTGAAGCTGAACAACGTGAAATACAGAAGCAAACTAAATTATTCCAACTTATTATTGAAAATTTTATTCCTACTGATGAACGTGAACGATTATTAAAAAGAATTCAATTTGATGATCGACATAATCGTTGGACACTGAAAGAATTATCGAAACAAACGTAAACTTAATTGTAAAAAAAAAATGAGAAAATAATCCTAGACTAAAGCTTTTTTAGAGATCAAATGGCAGCTCGGCCGATATTAACTCATAGTGATCGTCGTCCTATAGCTGTACATTCACAGTCAAATTCGATTCCTGAAATAGCTTATTTTAAAGTATTCATTTTTGTTCTTTTTTGTAAATTTAATATGATTAAACAATTATTTCAGGGTGAAAATATTATTTTACTTCAACTTGATTTTCCTAGTCGAACAACTCGTGATTATGAAGATCCAATGGTTCCACCAATGATTCAAGCAGCTATGGGAAAGGCAATGAAAGATGAAGAAAATATTGAATTAGATGCCAAGTAGCTAAAAATAAATT